AAAGGAGAGTAAATATATCTTAATACTAGTACAGCAGGAAGCATTATAAAAAGACAAGCAGAAACTCATTCTCTAATCCGAGCAAACAATGTAGGACTTCTCATTGCTACATGCAGAACTGTTCCTTGCTTGGAGGGCATTAGGACTGGGAGCTAAAAGATGCTTTAGAATAAATTAGCACAACTGTAAATCTGACAAGAAGATTAATATTCTAACTATGTTCACAATAATTAACTCACCAAAACAGTCCCAGAGTCATTATCCAGCTAGGGTGGAAATGGGAAAGTTTACAGCACCCCTGTAGATTTATAAACCAATTAAGAGTGACCCTCCTCTAGATTTCATTAGAAAAGCCTCTGGTTCAGCAAAAGCTCACACATACAAGTAAAAAGTTTCCTGATGAAAGGTGATGCAAGGGATCTTTATCACCTCTACAAAATACTTTTCCTGCTCCCATGAGAATTACATATTGCTATTGCATCCTCTGCTTCCTGTCAACTCTCCAGCCCTCACACAGCATCCTCACACCTGCAAGAAGTGGGACTGCCACTGTGGTACTTTTCCATGGGGTAAGCTCTGCTTTATACCTTGCATGACCAAGGTGTCATGGTCCAACATTAGAGAAGCACTTCTAATACTCTGATACAGCTTTGGGCTTAGGGGTCACAGCCCCCCTTCTACCCACAGCCATCTTCTACCTTCCATGTGCAGTGGACAGCAGATTTGTAAGAAGTTTCACCAACCACCAGCCAGCTACTGCATGTGTATGGGTTTGCAAAGAGTATGAACTCTCCATGCTATCTATGCCATTTTCCCCCTTCGTTGTCTTTCTGCACAGGTTCATTTTTCTAATATAAAAGCCTTCTCAGCAACTGTCAGAGCAGTCTCCCTTTATCTCCAATTCCACAACTACTTCTCCTTTCAAAACTTTGTATAAATAACAACTCTTTTCTCCTTTTGTGGCATACATCTATGCTTGTTTCATCCCCTCTCCTTTGTGCCTTCCTGCATAATTGTATTTTTCAGCTTTGAGGAGTATTTTTCAATATAGATAGCATAAAAATTGCTATCTAAAATGAAATAGCATTGTATCACAGCCCACACTTCTTTCCCAGTAAAATACACAATTTGGACTGACTCAAGCTGCGATGTGTATGCAGGTAAAACAAATTCTGAATTATTCAACACTTAAAACCACTGAAAAATCATTTACTTGTTACAAGCCATAAGATTTATGTTTTATGTCTCCCAATCAATAGCTAGTGTGTCCACACATAGCTGATTTATCCATATTGAAAATATAATTATAAGTCTAGTCTGCTCTGAACCAAGGAGTCCTTTTGTAACAAGATTATTTAAATACAAATGGGGTTGGAAAATTGGTTTTAAATGGCTAATCTGTCTTGTCTTCAACTCCAGCTGTAGAATTTACTAACATCATAAACACAGGCTGAGTGAAAACTTAAGAGGTTTTCTGATTCTCCTCGCGATCTGTCTATGCAGCACTCATTAACTGTGAAGCTGATGGGAGCTGTATGCATGCCATGAGAGGAGGATAATAAGCCTTGTAATCTCTATAAAGAGAAAGGGATTTTTACTAGTGATATGTCACATATGCTGGAGTGCAAGCATCTGTCTTATCAGCAGCCCAGTAAAGAATTTATGCATCCCAGTCTCAGATGCACTGAAGGACACCTATAACATATGGGTGGACAAAACCTATACCCACGAGGCTGGAAACTACTCAAAAGCACCACTTGCAATATGGAGCTTCAGACACTTGTGAAGATGTGATTTGGAGAAATTTCATTTGGGCAGACTTCCTTGGGGATTGTGAAAGGCACTGCTGCCCTCCTGCTGTCTCCGCCAAGTGTGGCCAATGGTCCATGACATGCAGTGGGGAAAGGCTGGGCCAGTGCATCCTCCTTCAATAGACACTGCAGTTCTGCCAACTGGGAACACACCATGACTTTCTCTCTGGGTCATGTAAATGGACTGGAAGAAAAATACAGATCAAATCTGACTTGGGCTGAGTGGAGATAAGGGTTTCTGTGAATTTTAGTTTAACAGCTATAGGATTTTAAGCCCTCCACTCCCTGTAGACAAAAGGTAACCTGGTAATTTGCCACCTTGCCCAGACACAAGACACTACTAACTTAAATCCTTCCTAGACAGACCACCCCATCCACCCAAAAAGGATTAATGTGCTAGGTTTAGCTCTGTTAATTTTCTTTAGAGTTGCTGGTATGGGACTCTGTTCTGGGGTTGTGCTGGAAACAGATTTGGTAATTTGGGGATGTTTTCATTTTTGCTGAGCAAAAAATATCACTGAACCAAAACCAGCAAAGATACAGATTCCTAAGTTTGAAACTACCAAACTTGTGACAGATTGGTAGTGTGCACTGTCACAGATTGTGACAGTGGAGGCTACCCTGGGGTGCTGCTTTCCTAACCTTGTGAGATGGTCCACTCCACTGCCTCGCCTTAAGTGAAGGGCAATGGTTCTTTCCTAGAGGTGTGCAATGCAGAACTTCCCTTACAGCTATTCAACAGCCAGATGTTTAGGAGAAGCATTATGTTGTGCTTGTCCTCATTTCCCCCCAGGGTCTGAAAAAACCTTCAACATTCAGCGGGACAGCACACTTCTATGTTTCTTCTTAGTTTGAAAAAATATATAGAAAGGATAACTGCCAGTAAAACAAAAATGCACAAAATTTGAGATTATAATTCTATACATGCTTCTGAAAGCCTCAGTGGTTTTCTTCATTGTGCTCTGAATGGCCCTCTAAATCTAATTTAATTCAGTGAAGCAAATCCAAAAGTGTCGGGAAAAAAAAAAAAAAAAAAAAGCAAATCCACTTTCTCTTTAGTTAAAATAAAAATTGAACAGAAGGAATTCCTGATCTTCATTAATTCCTTGGGCAGGCATACAAGCTCCTAAGTGTTAATGAGACTTGCCAGTTTAGGTGGACTGAAGTGTCTAATGAAAAGTCAAATGGGCCTACTTTGGATTTTCATTATCAGATATTTCCACCAGTAAAGTTTGGCAATATATCCTAACAAACCCTTCAAGCCCCCTGGGAACATGTAGCAAATTGTTCTTCTGGACTGGAATTAAATTACTGGCTTGCATGGTCAGTGTGACTCCTAGAGACTAATGTGAGGGGAAAATTATCCAAATCCTTTCTCAGAGTTACCTTTTCCACAGACAAATTCTATTTCGTTTTTCCCCAGTTATATAGAAAATTAACCCCTTTAGCCTTTGGTGTTTTCCATTAGAAACATGTACAAAAAATATCTCGCCAGAGAGCAAGCTTCCAGATCTGCTGAAGCTTTAGAACTCACTTCAGGATCCGCCCTGAATCAGCTTCACGCCTGATCACTCTAGTAAAACAAAAGAGTTCAAGATGTTCCTAAATGTTAATTTATCATTAAATGCCTGCTAGGCTTGTTCTTATTCTCCTGTGCAATATGAGATGCCAGATCAGAAACTCATAAATTGCATCCTTAGGACATGAAGATTTGCTATGGTAAATTCTATGTGTTGTTTTTTCAAGTTTCCCTTAAAGAAGAAAAAAATTACAAAAGAAAATAAAAGTACAAAGGTTTCCAGAAAGGCCTGAAAAGTTTGACATGTAATAAAAAATTAATTTGTCTTAATATAAAATTTTAACAAGCCACATGGTATTTTCAGGCAAAGAGGCACCTAACACCAAATCTGTAAAAATATCTCAGTTATGGATTTCTGATTCCCAAGGGTGGAAATCAAGAGACAGATTAAAGGATTACTATGTTCAGTCCAAAATGAAATTCCACTGGTTTTAAATATATTTTAAAAAAAGGATAAGTATCTGTAGCAAAGACAGCCTAACAAAACATTTTAAGTGACAGGTGAAGCACTTGACAGCTTTATGACTATCTTAGGGCCAAAGTTGTCTTTCTAAAGGAAGAAGGATTTTAATAGTTTTCCCTAAATCAAACCATAGTAGACCAAGGACAGAGACAATACAATGGATTTTAAAACCTCAGAAGTTAATCTCCCTGTGTATAAATCCCCACTGCGGGTAACATACGCAGGGAAAAATTAAGCAGCCCTTCTCCTGTCTTCCTGCTGCACTACAGCTCTCATCATTCGCAGTCACTAAGTTCCGGAAGTAAAATCTGATTTTGTGACATTGCATTTAACCAAAGTATAAACCAAAGAATAAGTCTACTTGATCACTCTTCACATACTGCCTTTCATTTTCATGAAGAATCTGTTTCTTTTACCACCACATACTGCCACACCACCAGTGCTGTTAATCTCAGAACCACAGGAGATAGCACAGAAAAGATGCTACGTTTTTTACCGACTCACTAACAATTGACATGTTCCGTACAAAACGAAGACTTGTAAATTTTTTCATCCACACCGGTGGAGGCACTGGTACCCCATGCACTCCTACCGACAGCACCTGGCATGGCTACACACTGCACTTGTGACACAGCAAGCATGAAGTCTGCATTAAAATACTAGGCAAAGCCTTGAGCACTTTTAGTGTATATGCTAAATCATCCCTCAACTCGTCCAGCTGAGGAGCAATTTACCACCCATCTCCACCAGCATGAGCTCTGTTGTTCTGGCCAAATATGTATAAGACACAGAATTAATTTCCATATTTCCTGGAGAAAGCACACAGGTGATTAGCCCCATTTACCCTGGTGTGCCTGAATCAAAGCTAACCGGGCACAGAAGCACGTAGGTCATTTTGAGTGCCCTGAGCACCCCCATAGTCTGAAAAACAATGTAGTCCTGAGGGCCTAAACTTGTATTACACAGTCAATCGGTGACATAACCCATAACCCATTTAGATCAAAACATCTCATGAAGTCACGCGAGTCAGCTCTCTCTCTACACTCCAGCACTCCACTGATGTGAATCTGAAGCTGTTTCTCCAAATGCCAAAACGAGCCTGAACCAGAAAGGTCTTGGGCCAAAGGCATTCCCAACTCAGACCTACCCAGATGGTATCATCTTGTCTGTACTGTTTCCAGTTGCGTCCGGTGTCGCTGAACATCAGTGTGTAACTGGTTACCCAGTCTGAGCTCCCGTACCGACCCTGGGTCGCGACTGCAACAATCTCCACTCTGTCCCCAAGATCAACCTGCAGCCACTGCTGCTCGTTTGACTCCAGAGGGGACCAGCCACCAGCTCCTGGAAGAGATTAGACAAAAAGAATTTAGACTACAATGACAGCACAAGATATTATACTTTATGTAGAGCCACGTAATTATTTCAGCTCATCACAGGGGACTCTGCTTCTTGTTTGTATTTTTGTACTAGGAAATACACTACATGAGATGTGCTTCTTCCAGGTTTTCTCTTTTAACCTATATTTCATAGGGAATTTCAAATTTCTAAGAAATTTTTAGGAAATTTATTCTTTTGCAGCTGGACAAACATCAGTGAGGTTGGCAAATTCTCTGTGACAAAAAAAAAATCATACAATCTTGTAATTTTGGGAATGCAGACTTGTAACTTTCAGTTTGCTTTGACTTTTTTTTTTGCTATGTTTTGAAAGAAATGTAAAAATTTTAGTTATCTTTATTTGAGCCCTACTAAGTATTTGAAAGAATGGTTTAACTAAAGTTTGTAAATGCATAATTTGTTGTAAAAATAGAGACCATTTGACTGAACAACTAAAAGTGCCTTCACACTGGAAAGTGGTCTCTCTTACATGAGCTTGTAATTCATGTTTGTCCTTTAAAAGTAAAGATATGTGCTATTGCTTCAGTTCTTTTAGAGGTTAAACAGGTCTGCAGTAACACCAAGCCAATGAAACAGAACTGCAACCACTGCTTGCGTTTTACCACTTCGCTTACCACAATAAATGGGAGCTTATGGTTAAAAGGCAAATCATTCCAGACTGGAGTATATTATTTTATGTTCTCTTGCTTTCTTTTACACTCTTAAATTATAGGCTATGTTTATTTTCCTCTAGCTTGTTTCTACTTACAGACATTTATTCTCTGTATACACCCAGCGTTCACTTCAGGCTTACAAATAAGCGAGCAGTGCAGCTGTGAAGAACACAGAAGCGCCATCAACAAAGTATCCAAGGCAGCAAATTCTGAAGCTGCCTCTGCTTCTGCAACCCATCTTCTTTTTGTTCTGTCATTATTAATGAAGTTTACAAAAGCATGTGACTACAGTGAACACAGTCACATTGGGAAGGAAAGGGGGAAATACAGAGTTGGGAGTAAAGGATTAACAATTCCTCATATAAACTGCAGGAATGATTGCAAATAAGCATTCCAAACAAAATTCATCTCTAAACTTTGTTCCTAAATATCCGGATTTATCTTAATATTTTAATCTTATTAACTGATCTGTCTCAAAGTTGCTCCTTGAAGAGTTCATTGAAGTGAAGAGAGTTGAAATATTAATAAATGTGGTTTATAACAAAGAAATCAATTTCAATAACTTTGTACTTTAAAAATATCTTTCTCCTCCTAGATTGCATTGTACTTTCCTACTCACAACTGAAAGTTCTTTGTCTAAGAATAAATTTTAGAATTTTCATTCTTTACAATACATTAATTTAGGATTTATCCTAATTCCTGAAACAGAAGCCTATCTATTCCACAGCTTGAACTGAGTATCATTTCTGCTCCCCCGGATGACTCAGTTTTCATTCCTCTACAACAACTCTCCAAGGAAAATAGTTTTGCAACTAAACCAGTGCATACTGTTTGTTAGTGCCGTGATTTATCTTACCCTTTTCAATCACAATAGAAGTTGTCATCATTATGATTATTTTACCTGCCTTAAATAGAATACTCTGTCCTATGAGCATGCCATAAAAGACCTACTGAGAAAATTAGGAACTTCATCACTCAGTATTTTTGTCTACTTCATAGTTCTTTTAAGTCTAACCTAGATATAGTTTATGTAAGACTATAGTACTTCATTTTAAAAGTCCTAACAATGTTTCTTCTCCAACCACCTTTTTTTTTTTTCATATAAAGAACACTTCTTTCTGCCTTTAAGACACAAACTTTGTAACTGTATTCAAAGGTAACAACTGCAGATTTCTCCTACACCGAAGTGTGAATAATGTACATAGAATCAAAAGGCAAAATTCCTTTGGTTTGTAATATTCAGTATCTGAAACAGACTCTGAAAATAATAGTTGCTGCTTTTATTACAGTTTTATTCCAGGAACTAATCTGATATAAAAATTTGGTTGAGAAGTTGTGATAACAAAGTTGTTCCCTTCAAGACTCCAAAGAGCCTATCCTAGATGTTTTCATAAATATTAAAAGAAATCTGGACATTTTCATCTTTCCTTTCTTTTCTTTCTATAATATCAACAGTAACAACTGGATTGAGAAAAACACTTATTAACAAATAACTTATTTGATGAGTTTTCCATTTTAAAAAAAATAAAAAACTTTGTTTTCTCTGTTTGTGTTTATACACAAATTCTTAAGCCAATCTTATTAGCACAGGTGCTTTCCAATATGATATCAAATATCATAACTAAATAGCTACTCTGTGTACTTTATGCTCTGTCCCTTTTGCTGCAAGAAGTGGCAGGAATGTGATATGTTTTCCACAAAAGCGTTTGGCTTTACTATGCACTGCTATTTTCCAGTTTGAGCACAGCACCTCAGGCTTATAATTTCGAAGTCAAACGAATGATACACACTGAATGGAAATTTGGGAGATCAGTGGTGAGCTTGAGCTCTAAAATCACAGATTACATGGTTTCTCTGAACTGCATATCTCTTTACATGAGCATATTTGTCTGCTGGAAATGTAACTCTTTAGATGTAAGCACTGCATGACACAGCACTGACACCTGCTTGTAGCATCACCTCTCCAGAGCTGGTCTTGCAGGAGGGGTATCAGTTATAGGACGTGTCTTTACAGAACAGCAGCTGCTTCATATATCTTTTCCAATGGAGGAAAAAAAGCCCACTGTATTTTCCTCTCCCAAGCCTTCCATCAGTACCGTTTCCACAGATGGACAGTAATTCTACTGTTGTAAGAATGGCAGCTAAAATCCCTGCAACAACAAAGCTGCATTGGCTGCATGACTGAGGGCAGAACTAAAGCTTTTCCCACTGGGTCTCTCTCACTTCTGCTAATAAAGCAAACATGTAGCTTCTGCTTGCTTTTGTGGTTATCCCAAATCCTCACCAAATACAGCTGTGAGTGCAAAAAATCAATAAATGTGGTTTTTTTTCCTCCATATTTGCTCTGTTACACAGAGCAGGTGGCACAAGGGATACTGGATACTGCTACAATCTGTGTCTTCACATTTCTTTTATGCAGATCATTCCTTATAGTGTATAACTACCCCATCCCATACTTTTTCTAGTAAGTAGCAAAAAAGCACATCCAAAGAACAGCAACTACTTACATTTGCTTCTCTACCCACTAGTGATGCTTGTCCTGGGGTTGCAAGCAGACCCAAGCCAAAGGACAAGAAAGTTCTAATAGGCAAAAACATGGGCTATTGAAGACACTATTTACAGGACATCAACCCCTTTGAACAGATACAAGCATAGCCCTGACACCCTTTTACTGCAGTTGGGCCCAAGAAAATTGAAGAGGACCATTCAGCTTTTAGTAAGTGTGGCATATATACAAACCAGATAAAATTTGGCCTTGGTTATGCCCCCCAGATCTAAACATTTTTTTGGGGTAATCTGGAAAGTACTAATGACAAGATGCTAAATAAAGTCCATGTTTGGCATTTTGCAACATGTCTGAGAGACATAGAATTTCTTCTTCTGCCCATCAGACTCCCACTGGCATTGATGGGATTCTGCACATTGTACTACATTCCTCACAGTTCACACATTTCATATTTTCTATGGATCATTTCAAAGGAGACATTCAACATGATATGGAGAAAATGCTCCGGTGAAGAAACAGTACCACAGGAATCTGATATATTGCTCATATTCTCCATGGTAACAAATCATAATGCTAGAAGTATGAGTAGAGCAAAGATCTGATGGTTTGTCAGCTGGAGACCCATATGATTCCAAGAAATATGATCAAATACTTTTATTTTTTTTTCAGGCTATTTGTACATTTTGCCTTAGTTGTTTCAAAAATTGCATTTAAGCCCAGTGTTACACAGTCAATGCTTCTTGCTGTTCCCCAGGGCTGCTCAGGATGCCCATGCTTATTTGCAGTTCATTAATACAACACAAAGGGAATTATTATTTCCACCCTACAGTGCCTTGCAAACAGCTCAACTGGCTTTAAATTGCACTAAAAACTCCTAAACTTCCTGCTGCAACTAAGTGCTTCCCTGCTGCAGAATTTTACTTTAATGCCCAGATCAAACACTTCGTGGCCATAAAACAAATTCTTTTTGACATTATATATGTTTTATATTCTCATACATAATTGAGTATACTGACTATTCAGGCTAAGAGCTAATAAGAACTTTGGGTGATACAGTGCTATTATAGCAATTTTCTTACTATTTTTTTATTATTTATTTACTGTAAGCAAAAAGGCTGATAAATCCCTCTCATGGATAAGCAATATATTTCATAACTCCGAATCACATTTATCAGAATTATATTAGCTGCTTTACTATTACAAGTACAGATTTATCAGCATTTTTATTGAGCACTTTCAGTTGTTCACACAAAGGTTTACTCATGGGTTGTTTGTGTGTGTGTGTTTTTTTTGAACAGCACATTTCACTACCACAGGCCTTTTTTAAACAACAGCCTTTTAGTTACTGTTGTCTTGTACTGAATTAACTTGATGAATCAGAATGTTCTATTGATGAAGATCTGGGTTGTGTTTTTGAAATTCATCTCCACCTGTTGCATTCATATTTACATTAACAAATATATTGATCTGGCTTTCTACCTGGAGGCATTGTTCCTTGCAGAACTGTCTTATCAATTACAAAGCAAAACCAACTCATCAAAACACTATCAGAAAGTCATAGCCCAGTCCTTGCTAGTGAATATTATTTCTTGTAAAGATATCTACTGTTTGCATTCAAGTGAGGGTCAAAGAAAGTTTCTTCAGCCACCATCTAGTACTGCTTGCTCCTCCAACCCAAGATGGAAAACTGTACTGGTTTGAGCACAAGTGGACTTAGTTTTCTTCATGTAGCTGGTATGGGGCTATGCCTTGGGATTGTGCTGGAAATAGTTTTGATTGTACAGGGATATTTTTGTTATTGCTCAGTTTTATTTTGTTACTGCTTCACTTACACAAAGGACAAGGCCTTTTTTACTCCTTACCCCACCTCACCAGTGAGGATGCTGGGGGGGCAGAAGAAGTTGTGAGTGGACACACCTGGGATATCTGATCCCAACTGACCATAGGAATATCCCTTCCTGTGTGGCTTCATGCTCAGCATATGAAGTTGAGGGAAAAAGGAGGAAGGAGGGGATGTTCTGAGTGATGGTATTTTGTCTTCCTAAGTCATGTAATGGAGCTCAGCTGTCCTGGAAGTGGCTGAACACCTGCCTGCCCATGGTAAGTGGTAAATTAATTCCTTGTTTTGTTTTGCTTGTGCATAAGGCTTTTGCCTTACTTATTAAAATGTCTTTATCTCAATGCACAACTTTTGTAACTTTTACTCTTCTGATTCTTTTCCCCATCCCACCAGGGGGTAGTGAGTGAGTGACTGTGTCGGGCTGAGTTTCTGGGGTTGAGCCATGACACGTGCCCAACGTGGGTCTCAAAGGATTTGAGGTAATTACAGATTTGATTGGAATGTGCTAGATGGAATTTATAGCTGTTACTGCTGTTGAGCTATTAATCAGCAGGCTTCTGTGTTTGCCATGGGGCTTGCTTCCTTTACTGTTTATTAGACTCTAGTGCTCATTAGTAGCTACTTTCTGCTTTCGCTGCTTGCTGTACTGCTTATCATCCAACTCTGCTGTGCCTGGGAACATTTTGATAACAGCAATGGCCATGTGCCTGGGCTGGCAAACGGCCAGGGCATTGCTGCTGCTCCTGTGCTACTCTACTGAACTCCAGTGTGAACTCCATTTGAAGGGGCTGTGACCTGTGAATGAGTCCACGTGGCAAAAGGACACCCCAAAGTGTCTGTGGCTGTGAATTAGCCCATGCCAGAGCAGGTCTATCTCAAAGTGCCTGTGGCTTTTGTTACATCTGAACACATCTGGTGCATCTTTGGAAGGGATTGTGGCCCCAGGATAAGTCCACACTAGAGAAAATACATCTTGAAGCATCCATGGCCATGCATGAGGTCATGCTGAAGTGTATCAAAGCACGTGGCCGTGCCCAAGCCCCTGACAGAGCAGGTACACCCTGCAGACACTGCAGCAGTGGGTGAGCCAGGAGCAAGTTTAGTTCTGAAAGGACTGTGGCTGTGGGTATGGCCACACTGGAGTGAGTGGCTATGCGGGATTTCATTATTGTTGGGGGTTAAACCACAACAAGTACCCGTGTGAAATCTGCTGCCACTGCATCTGCACATTCCTACAAAAGTCCGTGCAACAAAAGAATTAAGCAAAGTAGAATTAAACTTCTAGGTCTCTGAGTTGGCTTCAGCTCCTCAATTACAATGTATGCCTCCAAAACATGAAATAAATGTTGCTGAAACAATCCACTTAGGACTCGGTTTCAATACTCTGTCTTCCTATTCTCATGATTAGTGCTAAAGGACAGCATGCAATACCAAATCTCTAAAAAACTACACCTTACCCCTCCCTACATGACAAAACTACTGTATTGCAGTTAAATACAATCTGTTTCAATTTCTGACTTTAAACTGAAATGTTTGTCATAATTTTAGATATAATTAATATCACTTTAAAATACAGTACAATCAGAGCCTGACTTGCAATAATATTGACTTTGAATCTCCCTCATTTCTGCAGAAAAAATTAGCCTTTAGAGCCATTTGCACAATCTCATAAGCATATCTGTTCACCATCACTTTGGAGACAAAGGCAGGGAAAACTCAAACATCTTTCTCAGTGTTTACAACTTTTTTCTGTTGAGCAACTATCATATGACTTTTTACTTGTTGAAAAACTTTGGTTCAAGAGTATATATATGATATAATAACTCCCATCTAACACTTCTCTAATGAACTAGCAACTCCTTTCCATTACTGATAAGCACATAAGAGAGAGCCCTTTACTGTCTTTCTACAGATTTATCAAATGGTGTTTGATTAAAATAGACACTTCAGAGATGTTTAAGAAGGGAAATTCTCATTTATTTTCAATTAAAATCTTTTTTTCTAGGAGTACAATTTTTAGTGATTATTAAATTTAAAATCATTCAAAATCTGATAATACAGGGCTTTCCACCTTTAGAGGCTCAAACTTGGGAATAAAATGGGAGTTAATAACCCAAATTTGCAGTGGGATGTCAAACGATGCCCTAGATACTGCCAACTTCTCTTTTCTGGTACCAAGTTTCATCTTAATAGTTCCTCCTTGTGCGTGAGCTCATTATCTGGGCCTTGTCTGCAAAGTTTTTATCATATTCACTGTTTCTACCATTGTATAACCATTGAATTCGACTGGAACTTTGTATCTAGTCACTACTATCTTTAACACCTACATTTTAGAACGGGACCTCTAAATTAACGACCTTCAGGCTCTTAAAATTACGGAAACTCATCAAAAGAAGAGAGATTATCTGAGCTTCCTTAAGGATTTTTCTTCAAGAGAAGTAGAGAGTTTCCAATTTAATAGAAGCTTTCTATAATAAAGGAAGAAATTGCTCCTACATAGCTCACTGTCAGAAGCATAAATTAATGGCTCTGTTCAATTTGTCTCTTAATGCACTGCATACAAACAACAGAAAAAGTAACTCTTTGTAAATGTGCTTAAAAAGAATAGTTTAGGCATTTCATAGTGCAACCTTACCATCTCGCCTGTTGAGCTTTGCAAAGCTGGGACTGTGGGTACTGAAGAGCTCAGAGGAACTGGTAAGGGCTGTTGAAGGTAAGGGAGATACCAGTGCATCATCACAATTATCTAAAAAAAAGGCAAAAAAACAAAACACAGAGGTCATTATATGAGCAACACATACGTCAGCTTGTGTTATCTCCAAGTGGTGTTTGCTTCTGCTTGGTAGACAGAGACTGGAGCATACTTGTGCTTGATTTCACTCATGGAACTGAAAATTACCCCCCAGAATGACAGTCTGGTGGGACAGTAACTTCAGTGAATGAAATTTCATAAACTATGCTGCAGTTAGAGAGTAATGACTTATTGCAAAAGCCACTGGAAAAGTGCAGTAATGCCCTGGCAGACTTTAGAGGACAACCGGGGTGGTGTGTTCAGTAAAATTTTTCCACAGAACAGGTATGTAATGTAGGAGTTAGAGCTTCATATTTCTGTGTAGAAGTGACACAAAGGGGCATACCACCTGGCCTTTTGTAACATGTGAAAGCATGTCCTGTGCTTCACAAGAGTCACATGCTGCACTACGATCACAAAACCTGAACATTTCCTTCATTTCTTCCCCAAACACACACACAGATGCACAACCAAATTAGTCTTTTTCACTCACATGAGTAGCTCCTATGTCTTTCCCCTCTTTCTTTCACATCAACATGAGGACAGATGGGCTAGGCTAATACTCAAGTTGAATTTTTGATCCCATAATATTTGAATAAAGATGGAATTAAGTAGAGTAAGTTTGCTCATTACAATGCTGTCACATACACACTCCAGAACATAATGTGGGGTTTCAGAAGGGAATAATAATAATAAACCCCTCTCATTTTTAATTGAATCTCCCATAGAGTAAACATGGATCTAATTACTGGAAAAATCCTACAGGTCAGCAGGATCTCAGGCCACCACAGTGTTCTTGCACTCAGATTGTAAATATGCAATTTTTCAAAGATTGGGAAAGCAGGGGATGGAGGAAAGGGAAGAGAAATAATCTATTCATGATACTTCAGGGCTATAAAAGACCAAGAATAAATGTAAAACTTTCTTTATGGTTATGACAACAAATTTAGAATTTCTTAAACTGGGTGATACTTTTTCCATAATAAGCCAGATCATACTAAAATATTTCTTATATTTTTTACAATGACTCTTTAAAACAGAACAGATATTTTTGTAATCAAAATCCAGCTCTATATGAAAGAAAATCAGTGTAATCAATATAATGCATATCAGTGTATTGAATGATGGATATCAAAAAGCAAACTTCTGTACAGAACCTTTTCCATCTCCTTGATTACCAAGAGCAAAAAGGCCTAACGAGATCTGCAAGTTACACAAATTAGGGAAAACTATTCCACTGCTGTTGTAGCCATGAGGATAATTAGCCAACAAAACAAGTTACCACGGGACTGAGCAGATTCTCTATCACTTGTACCCTTTGAATCACAAAGAGAACTTCTGACTGCAATACAGAAAGTTCTGGGGAGGTCTGGTGTCCTGGTACACCACGAGATCAGACCATAACTGTTCTATCTGGACTTCAAAAAAACCCCAACCTGTAAATTAAAATAAGGGTCTTAAATTCATTGGCACTTGCAATCTGAACAGAGACTCAAGCAAAAATCTCAAATGGTCGGTACATCAGGGCACTGAATTCACCCAAACTTCCGTGTTCTTTAAAATCCAACAGACATGGCTGGAACCTCTCAAAAGAAGGCTCAAAGTCTTAGTGACAGACCTGCATGATTATTCAGCAACACTTAAAACGTGAAGGTGGAAATAACTGAATGCAGAGATTTCAGTTTAAATAGTGTTTAGATTGCTGGGTCCCTTCAGTTCTCTGTGGTTAGTTCTGGACCACGAGAGAACTCAGCACATCAGCCTGTACTCCCCAGCTGCCCACGGCAAGAGTCTCAGTGACAATCTCTGGGTTCTCACTGTTCCCCAGAGGTAGGATTGGATGCCTATGGGACACTGAGTGTCTCAGCATCACAGCAAGAGTAAACTATTTCAGAGCAACGCATTTAAGGTTTTCCCGGGGATCTCCGGAGGCTCTAGCCTGAAAAGTGACAATTAGTTCCAACTACCAGATGCTTTACCTACATTTCCACATCCTTTGTTTCTGTCCCCATACACACATACCTGGATCTTTGCTGCTATAGCACTACAACATCATTTTCACAATAAATTCTAGGATCCCTATTTTGTATTCCCCTACAAAAGAAAGGGAGGGAAAAAGGCAAGGAAAAACAGCCCCACTACATCTAGAAAATATTTCCTCAAACAATATCTAATTATATAAACGTGTAAATTTAAGGCTTCAGCACTTAGGACAGTATTAAAAATTTGATGATAGTTCTGAGAGCACCAGGACTAATGCCATCCAACTTCCAATAGATAAGAGAGCAACGATTGATTGACTCTGTGCATGCAGGAATTTCCTCCAAGTGAAGTTTATTTTTGAATGGATACTCTGACAAGATGCAAGATCAGTCTTCTGCCCTCCCCTCAGTCAAAACTAACATTGCAACACCAGAGGTTGCACCGACAGCTCTACATGCACAGACCAACAGTGCAGGAAATGGCACAGTTTTTACATGCCAAACGCAATTTCAAAGCACAGAACAGTCAAATGCTTGGGATGCTTCAGTCACCTTGTACATGCACAACAATCCAGATCATACACAGAACAGCTCTGATGCAACTCTTGTTGGAGACCATACGTGTGCAACTGTATAGATTTGAGATTGATATTTTTTTGCAAAACTTAGGTGAAATAAGGTACAGAGTTCAAAAAGGTGGAATGTGCACACAGTGAGGATCATCCCATTGGCCCTGCTTCCATGAGAAGGCAGTACTGAAAAACAAACAAGCCACCCAACACATACCTCTCAAGATCAGAAAACTCTCCCAGAAAGGTTGTTATTACCATGTTACCTTTTGTGATGAGTGCAGACAAGAAAGAGACGAAACATTTTGTGCTTATGCAAGATCATAGAAGATCAAAAAACCATAACCAAACCATAAAACCAAAACCAAAGCCAATGTATCCTAATTCCCACCATATAATCCCAACACATACATTTCAAGAGACTTTGTCTCCCCCACTTCTTGTGAGAGAAAAAAGCCATTATTAATTATTTATAGTTCCTAACCTATACTTCTTTTTGCTTTGGAAGTTTGCCTGTTGGATCAGGAATTTTGCTTATTTGAGTCTGTTAAAAACATTAGTTTTAATAATGAAAAGTTCTACACTACAGAATTTAAAACATCCGAATGCTGACAAAAGAGCATTTACTAGCCAGTTTTCTCTCCTGTGTTTCCTTTCTGACAAGATAATTAGCAAAGAAATAATGAAAAAGGTCTAATTGTACCTATAAGCCTGCATGCAAATAACACAATAATAAAGATGTTGACTTGCATTTGAGAAAAGTTGCTGACCTTGAACATGTTGACTTCTGAATAAAAAACATTTATGGAAAGCATTTACAGTGTTGTGTATTACTAGAACTTGCATAAGCAATCTTGCTTCAGAAATAAAGAAAAATATTTACCTTTATCAGCTTGGTTTTTCTGAATTTATGCACTAATGATTTTTAGAAAATAATGATAAATTAACAAAAAACCAAAGAATAAATTCATCAATCTATTATGAAGTTGTTTTATTGATTGGTTTTGATTCCTTTCTTGTAGTTTTAATTGCCTTCCAAATAAAAACAAGGAAATATTTTCTCCCTCTTTCCCCATGTATTTTAATTTAAGAGAAATTGTTTTGGACAAAACCACAAATACAAATTTTATCAGTTCAAAAACATCCAAGTGAGATAACTAACTCTTAGGTTCCTTCAAAATATGTCAGATAATACCAGCTTTAGCTACTATTACACAAAACAGAACTTCAGAACAGGCCTTTTTACCCAAATATCTGAATAAGCTCTGTATTTTGTGAACGCCTTTGACGTCTGTGACAAGTATGAAAAAAAATAACTGAGAAAAATGTATACAAGTCCTAGAGAGACAGGATTTCAAATGCTTCTGAAGAATAGCAGTGTTCTGAAATATAGATAACATATTACCAAAACTGAGTTTGAACAGAAATCAGACTTTCAGACCAACTTTACTAGTTCTTGTAGTACATGTTTTAACTTGGTGTTGGTTGGCATAGCATGATTTGATCTATAATCTTCTTCAAGGCTGACCCAGCGTTCAAGCACACCAATCAATATAAATGTAGAAGATTTCTGATAAGTGTACACTGAAGTTATTTAGAAAATCATAAACCCCAGAAACCCATCATAGTGACACAGCATGTCCTTTGAAGAGGATCAATCCATGGAACACAGGCAGGTTCATTACCAGCCATAACTGAGATGTACTAACAAACCTGTCCTGATCCTATTTCCATGGTCCACTTGAAGACTCTGTGGGACAAAACACATTGATTTCCACTTATGAAAGCCATTCAGAAAGGTCACTAGCATTTTCTTAACAAAAGCTTTGATGAAGAGGACACAATCAGTGAAAGATTACTAAACCCCAGGCTTCACAGATTCCCCACAGATTTTAACTGCTTTTAGTAGTACTGTACCCTCACCTAGACTAATGTGCAGAAAATATTTGATGGCGAGGTTCCCATTATTTTTACATGGCAGTATATTTTTAGTCAAGATCTCCTATCATTATGATAAATAATTACTTATCATACTGATACTTACACTAACAATCTCATATCAGCATCTATGGAAAGTATTTGACAAGCCACAGTAATACTCAGGTCCATGCTGCAGTGATCATAAGCATCATGAATTAATTATAAATGCCGTGATAGCAGTTCCCAGAGTAAGAACATGGGACAAGTATCGCCCAACAAAGCAGTTGAAGGAAGTTTGGGGAACAGAACATAGCATGCAAGCTATTAACAGAGCCAAAATTGCCTCCTCTCTGCAAAATATACAAATTGAAGAAGATGAAAAAGAAGGGAAAACTATAACGCAGGGACTGGTGTGGTTAGGTCTTACAATGGAGACCAAAAGACAGATTCAGAAGACAGTAGGTGACATGCCTCCTACACCATC